GTAGAATAGAGTCTATCTTGGTCATTAGGATGCTAGAATGTTCATATTTCCATTTAGATCTTGAGAGTTTCCCAGCTCAATGATTCTCAAAACTTTGCTTGATTGTGGTTGAAGTGATAAAAGGTCCTTGGTCTTGACTCTGCCTGAATTATTTTTTGCATTATCTTCAACATCCTTATCTTCTTAGAACCTTACTAGTCTCTGAGTGGAATCTCCTAAGGCCAAATTCCCACTCCATCCCTCAGCTTGTTTCCGTGTGGCGCTCAACTTGCAGTGAAATCTGGGTGCACCTTTGAATTCCCCCTAGTGCCTGCTTCTGTCCACAATTATGGTTACCAGAGGCTGGAAAACCTGTTAGTTTTCCTCTTTAGCTTGAGGTTGCTCTCTGAACAAAGGACCAATGTCATCTCGAGGCTGTCCAGTGCTCCTCTTCCACGGCAAGGAGCAGGGAGAGTGGCAAGGGGAAGAGGGTCCAGCACAAAGACTGGGTACTTGACTTCCGGTCTTAAGTGTTTCTCCCAGGAGCTTGGCAGCCTCGCCTATGAAGTCAACCCGAGGAGGCTGAGGAGATCTGGTTGCCTGGAAAAGATGCAAAGGATGTGACTCTCATTTTATGTATTTTCATGGATTTAAGGACCTTAAAAGATAAGGCCTACCTTAGTTGCTCTCAAAATTGAACAATATGCTAAGTCCTTAGATAAAGAAAGGATGGAGTCATGGATGTTCTGAATCACTGAGTGTGAGGCTTCTGATTTCTAGCAGAACACGAAGCCTTCCATGTGGGTAGTGTATTGCATGGCAAGCTGTAAAAATCTCCATGTAGGAAACCTACCCGATTAATCTACCCCACTTGCTTGTTTATTTTATGGATATGTTTCCAGTGGTTTTGAGTCTAGATTTTCCCTTGATCTTTCGGTTGAATTATTTCTTGAATGATGCATCAAGCTACTTTTTGTTTTCTTCTCAGAATTAACTACCTGTGCAGTCTTCAGTGTTCACCTTTTGAATCCCCTTGATATATTTCCTCCTTGATCCTGTTTCCTTTTTTTTTTGCCCCTCTGCAAGCTCATACCTCAGATATCTCCCCATGCCCCAGTGTCCCTAGATGAACTCCTTACATTCTTGTCTCCTTGGCCCACAATTGTCCTTTGTCAGAGCTGAGCTTGGTGATTTCCTCCAAGGACGCATCAGTGCCAGAAGGATTCTGCAGACCAGGCCTCCTCAGCTTTCGATGGAATCATTATTGAAAGTGGTTCTTCAGTTAATTCCGTGTCTCATTACTGACAAAAGTCTTCAGGAAGGAAGCAAACTGCACACAGGTCTGGACAGGGTTCTGCTGGGGAAGGGTGTGAGCTGGAGGAATAAGGTTTCCCCAAAGTCTGTAGATCAGGGAGAAATCTCCATCTGCTTTTGCAGCAAGTACCAATTCAGTATTCAGTTTTAACTGAGCTGAGAAACTATCTCATTCTATGCACTAAGAAGGGTGAAACAAGCCCTAATATGGAGCACAGAGGAATTAATGGTGTAGCAGAAAAGACTGGAGGCCTGGGATTGTACCTGAGTCCGGTAGGGGTCCCTAATTGGCCCAAGATAAAGAAGCACCAGACCCTGCCAGCCTGGTGAGAGGCTTTTCCACAGAGGCCTTTGATTATAGGGCAAATAAGCTCTTGTTGGATATGACATTGTGGAAGGTTGGGAACAAAGAGTTCTGGGCAGATGTTTGTTGGCAGAAGACTGAAATGATTAGGCAGGAGAGGCTGACACTCGGGGCTTCATTTCTGCTCCTTTCACCCACATACAGCTGCTCAGTCCTCTCACACTGTGTTCCATCTGCCAAATTTTAAAATATTTTTTCTGTATTGTATGGAGCATTTCCAGAAACCGACATCAACCTACACACCCAAATCCATACTGACTGGGAGAATAGCAAACTGCTGTTAAGAGACAAGTTGCAATTATTTACACCAAAGTTGTTCGTTTTGACACACATCTTGATTATTTACCTTATGTAAGACCTCACAACTTTTCCCATCTACTTTCCAGCTTTCAGAGAATCTCTCAGTCCTTTACAGATGAACTATAAAACCACTTCTCTGATTCTTTATCTTCCCAGGATAACCAGACTTCTAAGAAGATTGTAATACAGTTTCATGACTAAGGAGACTAAATATTTCAACAGAACAGTGTCACTTCCTTACCTTCTCAGTCTGCCCTTTCCTTGACTCTCGTTTCTTCATTTATTTCCTCAGTGATCCAGGTTATTCTAATTATGTGCCTCGGCTGAGCACATCTGCAGGTCTCCCCCTACCCGTGCCACTTTATCAGAGTAGACGGCCCCTTCCGCTGCTGACTCCCTCCTGTATCACCAGTTCTCCAGCCTCCAGCTTCCAGAGGTGTTCAGTCCCCGCATCCTTCTTTCTTGCCTTCACCACCAGAAGCCTTTCTGCTTCGCAAGTGTCACCTGTACAGCCTCCTGTCTTACGTGTGACTGCCGAGCCCTGACTCTGGCCCTAAGGTATCGATTCATTAAATTCACCTCAATCTGTGAGTAAAGGTGATGTGATATTTTTATAACAGCACATTCAGGTCTGAAAAAGTAGCCATAAAACGGTCTATTGCTATAATCCCCCAAAACGTCAGTATCACAAAACAGACAGCAACTGTGCCAGATTAATGAAGACTAAAGAGACATGGTAATTTAATACAAGACATGGTTATGGACTGGGCCTTCTACTGGAAGAAAAACACTTCTATGAAATGTATTACTGGAGAGGAGGGAAGGTAAATTGACAAAATTGAAAGAATTGGCATACTAAAATTCCGTATCAGCACTGAGTTTAATGAATTGTGCATGGTCATTATCATTGTAACTTGTGCTGCATAAAATATTCAAGAGAACACATTACAGTGTTATATCCTAACAAAGAAAAAACTGCTCAAACTGAATCTATCACTGACACCAACTAGATCTGACTAATCTGACTCAATTTGTGCTCAAGTCTAGTAAGCGCAGGATAGTACAGCAGTAACATCTTATGTGAAACCAATGTTGTAGTGCAAATGTGCCTGAAAAACGAGAGCACTGCATTTTATGAAAAGCATTTTAAACTGCTGCAACTTTTAACTTTAGATTTAAATTACGTAAAATGTAAAATTCCATTCCTTAGCTCCACTGGCCACATTTCAAGTGCTCAGTAGCACCGGTGCTGGGAGGAAGCACGGAGGCTGGTTGTCTCCTCTATACCACTCTCATTTGATGCGGGCGTGGAGGTCTTGGTGAGGAGAGGGTAAAGGAAGACTTTGGAGCTGGTACCCACACTTTAACTCCCAACCTGATAAAGAGGAAGAAAGGCAATTCCCTCTTTGGAATGCACACAAAACAGATGAGTTAATGTCCTGTCTGTTGGGTTCGTTTCCTGCCGTAAGATGCCTGGTCTACTTCTAGGCCTTTCTTGATGAGAAGAGCGATTATCACCATCATATGACATGGTGACAAAACTGGTTTTTCAGTATCTAATATCTCCACAGCCTTAGTAGGATGATTAACTTCTCTCAGCCTTCTTCTGCTTGGTTATAAAATTATTAGGCACTTGTCTGACTCATTTCCCAGGGTTCTGCATTATGAGGTAATGATATTCTGTAAATAGTCAAAAGCCCTCATTATTTTGCTAATTAGGACAGTGACGTTTTACCAAGATACAGTTATTTTTTATTTTTATGGTTGCTTCTCTTAGCAAACAAGAGATCCATTTCTTATTTTTAAAAAATTCAATTTAATGCATATATTGAATAGATAGAAAATGAATGGGTTACACCTGAGATGTAGCAAACTTTAATATCATGTTGAATTTGCTATGGGTCTCTTCCTTCTTTCTTTTTTTTGAAAGACTGGAAGTCCCGCCCTCTCCTCCTCCTGAAAGGAGAGTGCCACGGAGCAGATGTTGCATGAGGCAGTGAAGTGTGGCATCGAAGAGCACAGTCACTGGAGCCAGGGCTGCAGCTTTCTAACTGCCTGTCATTGAGCAAGCTGCTCAGCTTGCTCATTTTGTCCTTTGGAAAATGGGGTTGACCACAGTTTCACTCCTGTGATTAGTGTGAGAACAGTTAGCACTTTTAAGATTCAATATTAAGTCCTGTATAAATATTAGCTATTATTATTATGATAATTACAAATACTCGGACATATATTTGAGTCAAATTTTATTTATAAGATAATAATGCACTTTTCCTCAGTTAATATTATGTATCTGTGTTGTACCCATGTTGATGTACTCAGAGTGAATTAATTTTTTTGTTTTTGAGACAGGGTCTCTCTATATAGTTGAGACTGACCTGGAACTCACTATGTAGCCCAGGCTGGTCTTGAACTCACAGTGATCCTCCTGCCTCAGCCTTCTGTGTGCTGGGATTACTGGCATATGTCACCATGCCTAGCTTGAAGTAAATTAGTTTTCACTTGTTTAAAGTGCTGACTTTCTATCATAGATTACTCATTCCCCATTGACTGACATTTTTACTTTTTTCAAGTTTTTGAAAATTACTTTCAGAGACCTCTTGTATGTATTTCCTGGTACTCATGTATATAACCTATTCATCTTTATGATGTAGGACTTAAGGCAACTCCAGTTGTAACAGGTATTGACGAGTTGCCATCAAAGGGAATTGACATACTGTAGGTTTAGATCCTGACTCCTTAAGTCCATGGTGAGTCCCGGAGGCAGGAGGGATCCGAACAGCTCCTCTTCAGTAGGCTGCTGCTGCCCGGATAGAGTAAGGTCATATGTGGAAAGACAAGGTGTCCCCCATGCATGAGAGGTTGGCAGGTGAAGGGTGTATGACAAGGGATCCATGAATACACAGCACTGAACACCCGCTTCAGAGGCAGGGACAGCAGGGGAGGGAGTTGATAGAAAAGAGCCTTTCATTGATGCTCACACTGATGGCATTCATCTTGGCTGCCTTCAAAGTAAATTTTGTTTCTCCAGCTCTGAAAGAAAAGAAATGATTGGAACTTCAAATCCACTTGGAATTGGCAAGCCTCAGCGTTCAGAAGAGATACATAGAGAACAGAAAAGACCGTCGTTCTCAGGAGCAGGTCACCATTTACACCTCCTCAGCTGACCCTGAGTTTTTATACCTAAAATGCCCTTCCTTCATCTCCTCTGCAAGGTGTAGACAGTTACCTCTCTCACACAGGGAGCTTCCCAGCCCAAGTTCAGGGTTATTCATGCCACATATACTGGTCACGTTACTAGCTACCTGCAGAAAATTACTCTGCCACTAGAACTGATGCTCTAGCTAATACTGAGTAAAATGCCCAATCAAGAATAACTAGAAGAGCTGGTGAAAAACGCAACATTCTCGTCAAAGTCTGATGAACTCCTGACACAGCTCAGTTTGAAGGGTCAATGTCCTCAGGAGAAAGAAATCTCAAAATGAACATGATATTTTGCCCTGTTTCCCCCTTTGGAGCATTTCTCAATTTATAGGCAATTAGATTCTACAAAAGTAAGGCAATTATAAATACAAAATTCATGATGTTGGTTACCCTTGAAAGAAAGGTAGGATATCTTGGGATAGGACACAAAAGTTATTTTTCTGGAACAGGCTGTATTTATTTCTTCAACTGAATTGTGGTTACATGACTAATCAGTTTGTTATTTTTCCCCCCAATTTTTATATTGTGTATATACACATATACAAATATACACAATATAAAAATTTTTCTGCCTCCTTTATCATAAAGGAAAAAAAAAGTGAAAGAAAACAGACACCAAACTAATAGCTGTTGTCCACAAAGAACACATTCCAGTCCTCAGTATGGTTTTGGATTGCAGCGATTTCCTCCGGGAACTGCTACAAAGTCTGCTTCCAAGATGTGTCTCCAGGAACTTGTGCTGTTCCCAAGGGCAGTGAAAAGCTCCAAGGCTGGAAGTCTCATCTTTTTAATTGTAGAGTTCTAGTCTTTAAAAGGCTGTTAGTCAGAAACAAGAATGTTAAAACTGGGTGTGCAGCCTCATTCTGGGGAAAACTTAAAAAAATATGAAGAAGGTGATGTTTAAGTAGAGGATAGGAGAAAGCAAGCAGAGTCATTTGTTTACAGAATGAGCAATGCATCATCACTCTTACAACAACATGCCTTTAAACATACAAATTTTTAATAAATCTGTGTACATATAATGGATCATGATTATAAACATTAGGATGACCAGGTAAGAAAAGGATAAAATATGATTCCGAAAGACTGAAGGTGGTTGTTGAACTTATGAAGAGATATAATTTGTGAATTGAAGACAGTAAAAAGAAGTAAACAAGAATAAGTAGGGAATACGAAGTAAAACAGGAAGGAATTACTAGAGTTAATAGCACTTTAGGGGAACAAACTCACATAGTACAGATTTCTATAGGAAAAAAGAGTAGGATGTGTTGCAATTTTATACTGCAAGTTTAATGTGGCTTCCAGATTTCCAAAGTCTTTCATATATGTTCTATCCTAAAAAAAATGTAAGGATGGCCTGGCAAGAAAAGTATTTGCACAAAGCAGTTGTCTTTTAACTGGGCAAATGCATTTGTAATCCAGATGCCTCCTTAAATTCAATTCTGCTTTATCATATAAAACTTCAAGTAAGAGATGTAAAACTCTTAGTAGAAACACATGACAGGATTGTACATATGACCTTGAACAATTGTTAAGAAGAATATTGGCTCTTAAATAAATACCTAGAGCAAAACATAATGTGTAATATTTCAGATGTTTACCAGCAACACCTAGGTAATTCGATATCTAACTTTGACAACATAGATGTTGTTTTTGGAAAAGCTGTTTCACTGGATGTAATAGGCATAATGAAAATCACCTTATCTGAATGCTTTCTTTCCTTGAAAAAAATAGAGAAGGATGCTCAAAGTAAAAATAATATGCTGAGGACAATATAAAATACAACACTAAAGTGGCATAAGACTAGACAGAGTCTTTTTCTGTTCACCAATAAAAAGTAAACACCTACAATGAACAAACTTTACTACATATAAATAAATATATATATATAAACATACATGCTCATACAGTGAATTTTAATAATTAATCTCCAAATAGAAAGTTAATATTGGATTTTTTATCTGTGAGATGCGCTATTACATATTATCATATGTGTTCTCTCCTTGCTTTCTTAGAAACCTTAGACAAGGTAAAATAACTTGCATTACTCACTCACTCGCTAAGTCCTTACTTTGTAGATGGCTTTAAAAGGTGTAATAAGTTTTCTTAGCAACTGAAACAAAACTAATTTGCATTTACTTAATTTTTACAAGCACTTCAAATATTTGCTGTAAAATTCCTTAGACAGAAAAAGAAATCATTTTATTAATTATAAAGGGAAAATGAACCCTTTGTAGCTCACTGAACTACTCTCCCATCTTCATCTAACAGCTTCTCCTATAGCTATCTTCAAATTAATCCTGTATGTATTCTGTTCCATCTACTTCTCTGAATGTAGACTACTACTAGCCTAATGCATTCCATATTTGCTCTAGCTAGCATCACTGTAAAAATGGATAATTGGTCTCCTTGTTTTTTCTCCTGTCCCCTTCAAAATGTAAATTGTGAATCTAAAAATATTTTATAAAATATAAAAACAAACTGACATACGTCCTTGTTCAAATAGCAGCAAATGGTTGCCCTAAAATATAAACCAGGCCTTAATATCCATCTGTTTTGAAACCTCAGAAGTCACGCACTATCTTTTGTCAAGTCCATATTCATCCTATGACCTCCAAAGGCTGATAGGAACTAACTTTGCCTAATTTCTCAATCTCATTATCATCCCACTTCCTCTGACTCACACTCTTCTTTTCTGTTGTTGTTTTTTTTCCCTAACCCATAAAAATCTTTCCCACATGCTTGAGGACAGCTGTCTAGTCTCCTGTCTACCAAATTCTCTTCCCGCGGGCCTGAGGGTGCCTCTTTCATTGTCACAACCTCCAGCAGCCTCTTCCTGAAACCCTCCTTCCGTTCTCCTCTGCGTCAGTTCCCTCCACAATCAGCTGCAGTTCCTACTTACCGTGTTTCAGTGTGACCACTGTTAATGTCCCAGACGACGAAATGCAAGTTCTATAAAGAATGTTTTCTTCATGACATATTGCAAGTAGCTTGTTTGGTGTAGCTCTTTAACAAATATTTGCTAAATAAATGAACAATTAAGTTTGATTTGTCTCTCTTTTTCCTCAGTATCTTATGCATATGCTTAACCTTCTTTAATAACATGAAACTGAATTGCAGTACAATTTAATTTCTTCACCATAGACTGAAGTTATAACATAGTCTATGTAATCTTCACTTAAACATGTCACCGAATTCATTTTTTATGATTATGTCATGCTTAAAAGGTTTCAACTGCACTGGCCCTACTCTTTCCTGATTTTACCCATTACTGGGGATCAAACTCAGGACCTTGCCCTTACCAGGCAGGTACAGCATGCATCTCTGGTATTCTTTTCTGATTTTAGAATTGTATTAGTGATCAATTTCTGCAAAAGATACCCCAACATGTAGTGCCTTAATAGTAAATATTTATTACCCTGTGTCTCTGTAGAACAGTAATTGGGGATGATTATCAAAATGGCCCTGTCTCGGTACCTTTCAAGGTGTTGTAGTTAAAATGCTTGCTAAGGTTGTACTCGTGTGAAACCTTGATGGTCTGGAAAGATCCATTTCTAAGACTGTTCACTAGCATTGCTGTTGGCAGGAGGGCTTTCAGTTCCTCTCTGACTGTTGATAGAAGTCTTACATTCCTTGCCATACGGCCTTCTTCACAGGACTTCTGAGTATCCTTATGTTTTGGCAACTGGCTTCTTCCAGAGCAAGTGATAAAAGGGAAAAGCCAGAAAATACAGAGGCTTGTATAACCTAGACTCAGTAATCACACTCAGTTCCTATATTTATTCTTATATCCTAATTTTAACAAGCAACTGTCTTACTCAATGTGGGATGGTTGATGCTCTCTTTGGAATTATTCTGGGTCATCTTAGAAGCTGCTTGGTGGACTCTGTTTTCTGTCTATGAGTCACAAGCTTTCTACATGCAAAATATACTAAATCCTTATCAAGTTCCCCCAACTGCATCTCATTATAGCATGAGCTTCAAACCTACGATTTTATCTAAGTAAATGTTTCAGCATAGTTGAGACTCGGAAAGTCCAATTCCTAAGTGTAGCTCCAATAACACTGTCTCTTGATCTTAAAATCTGTGGATGGAAATAAGCTGTTCTCTCTCTTGTTCACCCCATTTACTGTGGTACGCTAGCTCTTAGATAACACCTGACACACTTCTACTCAGAGAGGGGGAGTCAGAGGCGTACAGGATTCGCTGAAATCCAGACAGATATAATGAAATCTGTTCTCCAGGCTCATGGTTCCATCCTTTCAATTGTTCTTTCTTTCCTATGAAAAGTACAGTATATTTGCATTTCAAGAAGTACTTCATTGTTCTAAAATTACTTCTTAATTTTAGCATTTTTACCATCCAAAGACATTTGACATTTTCAAAACCATCAAGTCATTTTTTATTGAATGTATTGGTACTTTTAAGGTATACAGTAGTTACTTTCATCATTGGGATCTTGTATCTTTACCTGATGTATCTTGGTTCTTATTTTTTCCCCATGCCCCTTCCCTCCCTTCACCCCCTCCACTCTTCCCTATTTACAAGGACGTTGTTTCCATTTTTTCCTTTTTCTCACACTTTTTCCTTTCCCCTACCCTTCCCATGTTCACTACTCCTTTAGCCCTTTTCTTCCTATTTCACATTATTAGTTATACGATTTGAACCTTATTTACACTTTTAGTTTTTCACACCAGAACAACTATTTTGTATTTACAGATGTGTATCCTATTTACTTCATTTATGCATTCAATATGTAGCTACAAATGTCTCTAATTTCCCATTCTTTATGGCTGAATAATACTCCATTTTAGAGAAAAAGCACATCTTTTTTTATCCAGTCTCCAGTTAATGGGCAATTGGGCTGTTTCCAAGTTTTAGCTATTACAAACTGTCACTATAAACATAGGTTTGCATATATTCCTGTGGTATGATTA